ATTCCACGTCACAGCATCTAAAACGCCAATCCATGGAGCAGGGGTCTCTTCCTCTCCTATCCATTTATGCGGTAGTTTTCATGGATTTCGGGCCGGATGTCACACACAAAGCTCAGGAGATCATCCAGGACATCATCTCTGTTCTGCCGGAAGTAGGTCTGGAGGATAGTCATCTTCTCCTGGGTCTCCTTCTCCACCTCAGTGCTGCAACTGCCATGGGATCCCAGAGCCTGGAGTTGGGGGACAACAACACAGAATGAAGATCAGGATGGGGCTCCAACTGGTCAGGAACATTTAGTAAGCAACCTGCTTACTTTCAGGGAAACCTAGTCACGTCTAGGAATGCAAGCAATCAGCAGCGAGTAATGTAATCTTCTGAGTGAGCGTGGGAGAAAGGCAGCAAGCATTTCTACAATCATTAAGAACATAAACTGATTTAACCACTCTGAGTGCCAATTTTACAGCCACTGTACAACACTGAGTGTTTTCTGGACAGTCCAACAACATGTAGAGCCAATCGTCTCCCAATTCAAGAGTCAGTGAAATATATTCATAGTACTCTAATGCTTGAATGCTAAGATGATCAAAATTCGCTAATTGGTGAGTGGTGCATATCTGCCTGGAACCACTGGAGACCACAACATAGAACTTGAGATTGAGAATGAAGCCCACCAAGAAAAAGGCAGAAGCATGAAAACAAGATCCTGAGAGTCTCACTTAAGCTGCTGCTGATCAAAATAAAAACTTTTCACCTGCAGTCTTTAACTCCATAGGTAAATACATTTCTTCAAACAGTTTTCTGTTCCCCTCAGTGGAGTCCTGACAGCTTTTCCTTGGTGAAACTTACTTTATCCTTTGTTGGTTTCCTTCATACTGGGATCTCACTATTGTATGCATGGATTCTGTTCATGAATTCCTCTCTACATGTACTGTAATAAACTAGAGTCCCATGTGATGTGTGTTTATGACCTTCATAGTATTTTTCATTATGTGCATTTTACTATTGACTTCCTGACCACTGATCTATTAAGTCTTATATAAAAGCAGGAGATTACGTCTATTCAAATTCACAGCTGATCCCGCAAATATTTATTAAGAGTGAAGACTTAAGATGATCCAGGACTAGAGGGGACTTTTTGGAAACTTAATCAGAGTAGCACTGAAAAGAAAAGGGACCCACCGCAGCTTCCTTGGCCTTGAACTCTTTCTCCCTCTGCAGGCGGTACTGTTCAATTTCAGCCTGTGCTTCTTCTTTGGCCTGCTTCAGCCTCCGGTTCTTCCCTGGTTTCAAAAGAGACAATTATCAGGATGTGGCTAATAAAAATGAAGCAGAAAAACAGAGACTGAGAAGGTAAATTTTAACAGTAACCAAAGAAAAAAGCTGTTAAGATATAGTCGCAAGAGTGGCTTTGAACTGCCAGAGGTGCTCTTGGGTTAGTTCATTTCCCTACAGACTAAGAAACCAAGGCTACCCACTAAGTGATGGATAAAAGAAATACGTTCTATAACTACAAGTCAGATGTTGTTGTTATGTGCCGTTAAGTCGTTTGCGACTCATAGCAACCCTACGTTGTTGTTGTTGTTAGGTGCTGTCGAGTCGCCTGCGACTCATAGCGACCCTATGTACAACAGCCCTAAACTCCGCTCTGTCCTGTGCTAACCGCACTGTCTCTGACACTCCCATCCCAATTATCCCAGTCACTGAATCAATCCAGCTCATAGAGAGCCTTCCTCTCCTGTGCCGTCCCT